ATGGATCAGGTGCTGAAATTATTACAAAATAAAAAAAGCAATTATCAGAAATAAAATAATAATATACAATTCGGTTAAATTTAAGAAAACGCTTCACCTACTAGGAAATCGAATTGACTTTTAAGAAAGCTTAAAACACCACTCTTTAGAGCATGATTCTTTTATGAAAACAGGCTCTTAACGCCTCGCTGCGACCTCGGGTACGGTGGTACGATGGTAATAACGGTGTCGAGTGCGGTGATGATACCGAAATGGGTTCCTTCCGATAAAAAGTATACACTAGTCCACGGAAAGGGCCCCAGTTACAAGAGATCCCTCATTATGAGAGGTTATGAACGCATAGGGAACGATGCATGAGTTCGCAACGGATGTGTCACCCATAAAAGTGACGTTCATTAAAAAGGACTACCGAGTGTTGCTGCTCAATTTAAACCTCATACTGAATTCAACAATGTTTGTAACTAGTAACAAAGCTGTTAGTGTTCCGATAACTCTTACACTACTGGCAGTAACACTTTGTTATCTTACTCATTGATAGTCTGCTGGTTTTTTGAAGTCCACCAGCTGATTTAACGGTAACGGAAAGCACGCAGACAGGAGTACGACACTGTGGGAAGCAGCAAAATATTTTACTTCCGGTGGAGTGCTCCTGGTTTAGAAACCTACAAAATAAGCAAATGACAGAGATGAAAACATTGATTTTGGGACAGTTGGTCAGCTTCAGGTACCAAGGTAGGTAGAGGGATGCTTACATTGCTTTTGAGGACTTTTCAGTGAATATTCTCATCAGGAATTGCCCAGCTTTGTTTTGCTCGTATGTGGATGGTATCACCACGTATCTTCCTTTCTTAAAGTGAAACTTGTTCACCACTTCTCGTGCGTTGATGAAGATAGAATCTCCAGCTTTTTCAAACATCGTATGTAACCGATACTTTCTGTTCTCTTCCACCTAAGGGCGAAACAATGAGACTGAGGGCTGGCAAAAATGGACAGAAAATGACCAAACGACTCAAAACTGAACATACGTACGTAAACGTACTCCTGTACCAGATAGACAAACAGTCAGACAGACAAGTAAACACACACAGACCGACAAGCGAAAACAGTACAGGATAGTCAAATCGAAGGCCAGAAAAATGACTAAGCGAGGAAACCAAAAAGGCAGACAGGCACAGAAATACACAGACAAATAGAAACACCGATACCGAAACACAAATTGTAAACGTACACCAATTATGATCACACAAACTGACGGACATGCACATGTAGGTGGTAGTATAGCAGTCAAAAACACATAAACAAACATTGTGGCAGAAAAAACAACTGACAGTCGTCACGAAGATAGGGACTGATAGGCATTAAGACAAACCTCAAAATGACAAATATTTGACTGGAAACAAACGAATTCTGACAAATATGGTTTGCATAATCAGAAATGAAAAGATGTCACCCAGATAATTGATAGCTGTTTTAGCAGTGTTACCTTCATGACAAAATATCCAATGGTGAGATTTTCTGCGCCATGTTCTTTCGCTTTTCTTGTGTCTTCCTGCATCAGCGAGATCATCACTTCTCCCTCCTCTTTGACAGTGAAAGCATACTGACAAAATCAAACGTTCAATTGATAGTAGTTGCAGGACCTCAAGAAGTTGTGATAATCAGAAAAATGCAAAGACACTTAAGTCGTCAAGCCAAATGACTCAAAGCTACTGGTGCTCATATCTGTTAAGTCTCACTCATTTCAGATAACCTCCTGATCCCGGACCCCTATCTCCCCCCCCTCCCCCCTTCTCTCCCATAACATTTCTTCAGGTTCCCCTGATGGTTTGGTGCTACTAATTTACACGTAGATGGGTGGAGAGAGCACTGTGTGAGAACATTTTCTTGCTAAGAAACAAGAAATGTCTATTACAAGGCTTGGGTTCTCCAATAGAAAAAAAGTGCAAGCTGTGGGTAAAAACATGAACATTTCTTCAATTACCAAACAAACTAAATGAAAGAACACACAGGTAAATTAAAGCTCATAGAAAAATGTTATGTACCTGTGGGTTCTTCAGGAAAGTGCTTCTATTTTCAACACACCCACCAGCAGTGGAGCCTGGTGACCACTGATAGTTGTGTTTAAACACATGCCATCTGTTTGAGAGTGAAAAGATTGATGTGTTGATGACATGGCACAAGGTGGCATTGGTGAAGTGTGAGCAGAAGTCTTCAAAAGACATCCTAAAGACAAGAAAAACCACACAAAAACAATCAATATGGGTGAGCGCAAAATTCAAAACATGTAAAGAAGAGAAGCCAAAGATATGCTAAAACTACAACACCAAGTAATGGGTAAAATATGTTAAAAAAGAGTACATGCACTAACCAAAACTCTCCATCATTCTCAAAGACAATCCCAAGTTTTTCTCTATCACTTGATTTAAGCTTTTTCCACTCTTCAGAGCTAAAAAAATTATGAATTCAAAATGGATATCATAATTCTAATACGGAAGCAATCCTTGCAGCTATGAACACTACTTAAGTACTTGTGAAAATAAGGCCAAAAAGAAATTAAGGCCTGTATGAGATTTGAACCCATGACCTCTGTGATACTGGTGCAGCACTCTACCACATGAGCTAACAAGCTAACTGGGAACTGGTCATTATGTTGATTCCAAATAAACCCTCAAAGTGGTGATTTTTTGTAATAAATAACAATGGGAATAATATTTTTTTGAACCAGTATTAGTATAATATAATATAATATTAAAATAAGATAATTAATAGTAATAAATAATAATTAAATTAGGATAATTATCCTAGTTTTGAACAAGAATATTTGATAAGAATAACATAAAAATCATTATCGAAAAAAAATTAGTTTTCAGTTGTTATTACTCATCACTCCAAGGTCCATTCCACTCTTTTTGACCCCAAGGATTCCTCAGACGAATCATGTAAAGATGTTGTCGATTGAACAGACTAAAAAGACCCTCACCGATGGTGATCTGAAATAAACAAGTATATTGTATGGCCAAGTGTGGGTTGCAATTTTATCTGTTATAGTTGTGTGTAAATCACTGCAAAGCTAAAAATTGCAGTATTTATGAAAATTTCCTCTGAGTGGAGAATTAAACAAACCATATCAAATGAAGTTACTATCTTTAGAATATATACAATGTATGTCCTGCAGCCTACAATCTACATCTTTGTCACCATGCAGTTTGAGAATGTTGTTATTCTTTTCTTACTTTGCTTTTTAATTTATTTGTTTGTGGTTGATTTTCTGAATGCTGATGATCAAAAAACATAACAGCAGGAGAGCAGTGCAGCAACAGACCACAGGGAACCTGATCCGTAAGATGCACTGATCACAGCTGTAGAATCCCATCCAATCACAACTGAGCCCAACAGCACATGGATTTGAACATTTATTTGTTCAACCTCATTGCCTGAAGAAGACTGGCAGTATTGAGTTGAAACATTGCAATCCACTGAGATCAGAAGTGACCACATCATGGGAGAAATGATTATATTTCTCTTTTGAAGTGTTATTTACCATCATGGTAAATAACACTTTAAAAGATGATGATGATGACCAACTATAACCTATTACCATAAGTTAAAAAGTTGAAGTTACCTTCTTTACTGCTGTGACACCATATGCATGTCCCATAACTAAACCAGTCTCTGTGCGCTTTTCCATCTCGTCTCTATTTTTGATCTTGTAAAAAAAAAGGGATATGTCAAAATATCAAATTTTTGATGTGTTCATATGATAAACTTCTTTGCAAGGTGAATACTTGACACACCTCCAGTGTTTGCTATCTGTCAAGATAAGACTTAATTGACTATAAGGCAACCTGTACATCACAACTAAGTTCCACATTTTATTGATTAAGATTTTCTCACACTTGAATATATTTTCAAAAGGGAAACCAAAAGTAATTGCCATGCTCATTTTAATTCCTTTCATTTTCCAATCAAGTTTTTAGGTCCTTGTGAATCCAACTAGTATACATGTATAATGTGCAAGTACACACCCACTGTTTGTACAGCACTTACTCTTATTGAAGCACCAATCAGGGATTTATCTCGCATTGCTCTTTGCATACTTTTAAACAAGACCAGTCTCTTCTCCTGATCTTGACTGTAACCTCCATCCTTAAGGCTGATCGACTCACAGACTCCACCAGTGAAATCTACTAAGGCATCACCAGTATTACCTGCTTCTAATGCTTCATATGAACCTGCCATTCTTAAAAAAGAAAAAAAATTGTTACCCATTTCACTTTACAACTCCATTGGCGTATGGAGTATTACAGTCCACTATTTCTACATATCTTCCAAAAACTTTACTTACTTAGCATATGCTTTTTCCACCAGGGCACTCCAAAACTCATTCTTGTCTGTCGAGTGGATGTACACCAGTTTTCCAGCAATTGTTGGTAGAAGATCATCGATGACAACTTCAGTCCATTGACCTTGACGGAAGAACCGGAACCTAAAGATTCCTTGATAATTACCAACATTTTCAGGGTCCCACTCCTGATGCTTTATATCTGGAATCACCTGAACAGGTTAAAACAAATAACACAAAAAATTTTAAAATATCTGATCCGTGGTTGATAAGAGGGATAAATTGATCTTCACAGGTAACCTGCAGTTAAAGCTATATAGTAATTGAATGGAAAGAAATTAAGGCTTCACAGGGCTCTTAACCTTCAGTCTTGACCTTTCACATGCAATCAACCTCCACAAGCAGTGCACTGTCATAACATTACCAAGATATACAGACCTTCTCTAACAGAGATGGCTCCAAAGCCAATGAGGAACATGCTGCAACAAACCAACAATTCCCAAGTTTTCCTTGGGTGACATCATGGCTGCTCATTCCATCCACAAACAGCTGAGGTGGGTCAGGAGTACAGATGTCCTAAGGAAAATGCAGAAAACAGGATCCATCAGAGTTTACTCTTAATCTTTTTTAGTTTGACCTGTTATTGTTTTGAGCCTATATAAATGCAAAGGTCTAAAGGAACTTGTCTTTGTTGTGATTGTTTTATGGAGGAAGGGAAAGAAGCCTGAGAAAGTGCTAAAAGACTATGAAAAAATAGAGCCCCTAAAACATTGCCCTCCCCCTCACATGACTGACCACATGTACATGGAAAGTTCTGTTGTTCTATATTCACTGTATTTCAAAAACCAATTAATGGTGGGACCAGTTAGAGGCAAATGCTTAAGGTTAGGCATTGTAACAACCTCTTAATTCAACCTTGGGATTGTTATTACCCATGTTCAATCACTGCAAAGGGTTACTCTTATTTAATCAAATTTTGTCAGTGTTTGCAAAGAGTAAGTTGGTTCAGCCCTCTTCCTGCCTTGCCAGGTAACCTATGACCACAACTTGGTTGACTTAGCTGAAAGAGTTTTATCTTCTTCTTCTTCTTCTTCTTTCTTTTTTAAGATCTTGTTCCAAAAGCTAACTAGTATTTGATCTGTCCCTCAGGTTTACCAAAGTTTTGTTAGCATATATGTTTCCTTTACTCATTTTGGCTGATTTAATAGTTCTTACTATCAAGTTTTGGTAGTTAGAAAGGCTGCCCAAGCAATCTTGAAGAAAGTCAAATGCTTTTATAGTCTGTCAAGGTTGAAATGAAAAGTATACAAACACTATTTTTCCCTGTATTTTATCATAATTTGTGGTACTTCAACCCAGGGTTGTGTTGAAAGGTCTCAGTTCTCCCTAAAACATTTTGTTCCTCCCTCATCCATTATCTATTTCAACCACACTCTTCCCTCCCCTTTGCCCCTCCAGAATGTCTCTCAGTGATATGCGTGCACATCAGTAGCTATGAGGGGGGGAAGGGGGGGTGAGGAAGGAAGTGGACGGGCGTTCACATTCTGGTAAGTTCTACGGGTGTAATGAATTCAATTACAGTAGAATGCCCGCAAATAAATATCTTGCTTAAGTATAAAAAAAGGACATAGTTTTTGTTCATTTATAGCATAGTATTGCTTCACTATAACACTATAGGGAGCTAATTGATCATGGTGCAATATTTGTAAATGAATTGGACGCGAACCAACGTAACTGCGCCTAAGAAAAGCGCAATATACCATTTCAAGCCTGAACATTTCGGGGAACGATAAAACACTTATGACTTAGTTTTCATATTTATGAAAAGAAAAACCAAAAACTTCAATTTCTCTCTCGGCTCTGTGGTTTGAGGCAAAACTTATCAAGCACTGCGAAAGCAGATACTTCAAGTGACGATAACATAATAACGAGGCAATTAATTAACATATGTTTATGTTTTCTAACCGTCTCGATCAATCCAGAAGTTCCATAAAACTATATAGCTACAATGCGTTGGTACATCGACAGGATACAAAAAAAGCGGAATATCACTACGATTGCAAAATATCGCTGGAATGAAGCTAAAAAACAAATCAAAATCTATCGTTTTGAAAGTTCCACACGTCACGTATTATGTACGGGCACCAGAATTTTAAACAGCTCCTTACAAGAGCTTGGAGACACAACAATATTAAAGGATTAATGTATTAATTTAATGTCTAACGTTGGCTAACGTAAATAATTCAGCACTTTTCCAATAATGTGGGTTCAAGAAGGTATTTTAAAAGGCAGAATAAACCAACTTTTCACCTACGCTCTCGTTAAGCAACACAATGTACAGCAAAACATTTAAATGAATTCAATAGCCGATAAATGAGTTAGAAGTCTGTGTATTTTCCAACGCATATCGGATCACCGCCATGCTCGAGATGGAGACACAGCGTTAGTTAGTCTACATAACTCAAATAAAAGAAAGCCCTGCTGAAAATTAATGTTACAATACCTTGGGTCTCTTCCATTCTACGTGCTCGGGAGGTGTCGCTCGACTAAAGTACAATGATTTCGTCTCGGGCGGAAATTCAGGATCCACAAAAAGTCTTTCATCTCTTTCGCATTGTCCCTTAAGCTTGCTGTAACGTTGATTTTTGAAATAATGTAACTTCACCATGTTTTCCTTTAGAGAGAACCTACGATATAGACTATGAACTTCGAGCGATCGGAAATTTGGACGAAAGCCTCGTAATCATTCGCGCGGAAATTGATTGAAATGCACACCTAGAAAATCTGCGACTCCATTGGTTGACTCGTTTAGAAATCTAAATTTATACCGGAAGTTGAGTCTTTTCGCTGTTTTTGTGGGCAGCGGGTTCTTCATGGCAACTGAATGTTTTGGGTGCCGCCATCTTCTTAAAATAGTCTCTACATATATTCGTTCGATCTTTCGAAATTCAGTTATCTAGCGATGCCAGGTAATTTCGGTGAAAACAAGTAGGTCAATATTCGGTTTACCAGCTAATTGTATTATTTTCTCATTTTGATTTATTATGCAGAGAAAGTTCGTCTCGCTAATATTCATGAAGCGGTTCGCTATGGCGACGTTTTGGAATTGCAAAGTATGGTCCAAAGAGGTGCCGGAATAAACGATGCTGATGGCAAATTTAAATTCACTCCGTTGCACTGGGCAGCTCATCATGGCAGCTTAGAGGTATGAACTTACAATGTAATAGGACTAAAAAACTGTGGATTTTTTACGAGTGCGCGACAAGTACGCGTTATAAATTCAGTCTTGTTTATTAGACTTAGTTTACTTTGCAGATTTGTTAATTCCCCACCGTGTATTATGTTAATGTGTTTTTAATTAGGATCAGAACTGATCTCCCTTAACGAAATTACTTTTTTTGTAATTTTTATGCTTGCTCATCCGGCACAATGTATTCCCAATGGAGTAATCATTTAAATATTTCATTTGATGGTGACAATCAACAGTGTTTTATTTTATGTTTTATTAATTATTTTCAGGAAATTTATTTTCTTATTAATGACAAAAATGGAGCAGAATTTGCAATCCTCCAGTAATTTTTGAAATTAATATTGTAATTCATAGAACATAGGGTAGAAATAATAAGATTAATAAATATTAACCAAAAAAATAAGAATGAGACAAACCCCCATAAGCTTCTATCCACACAATTCTTGTAAGTCTCAACGAGGAAGAGGAGACCCCATTTTGATGTCACCATTGCTCCTAGTTCCTTTAGAGAAGCCTTCTTTCTGATTGTGTGATGCTTTTCTTATAATATGATATTACTTATTTCTTTAAAGTGCTTACATTGGCTACTTTGGCATGGAGCTGATCACTCAGACAAAACTCCTCAAGGGTGGACACCATCACATCTGGCAGCAATCAGGGGACAAGATGCTTGTTTACAGGTGAAACACTTGTTCACTCTTGGCAAACAAATGTACAATTATTTGATTTATTTGTGATGATACCTGTTAGATAGCCAGATACATGTTATGAATTTTGAGTGTGTAGAAATGGCAGTAATATGTAGTGTGTAATAGTTGATTTTTCTTTTTTTTAAAGGCCTTAGCTGCAAATGGGGCTGATCTAAATGACAAGGACAATAGAGGTAAATTTGATTTTGCAATCATTGCACCTTTTAAATGACACTGGGCCTGCTATATATGTTGGGACAGTTGATCAGTGAGTGTCTTATGACTTTTTGTGGCAGGTTGTACTGCAGCACATTTGGCTGCAGCCCATGGGAATTCTTACTGTTTGCAGTCAATACTCAGGCATGGTGTGGTGAGTTATCTGGAAGACATAACTTTATGCCAAACATTTTAATAATAAGAAGACCAGCTTGTTATGTTGAGGCACAAGGGCAACCTAATATTTCATGAAACCTTCATATTGCAAATTGCAGTTGTTCATCTACTTTTGAGAACCACTTTAGGTTATCAGAAAATTTCAAAGTAGGCAGCTGAACCATAAATAAATGCTTTGATAATGAATATGCAATATTTGAGATACTGTAGTGTAAAAAAGTATTTGGTAGTCATTCCCAACTAGTATGAAGAAGGTGCAAGTTTCAACATCATCAATGCTTGACTTGCCAAGGTCATTTTTTACCTTAAAAAATAATATTTCAAAATAATACACAAAGTCACTAATATGCCAGCAGGATAAGAATTGGGCTTAATATGATTGAACTTCATATCATTTAGGACATTAATGCCACTGACAATATGGGCTGGACCCCAGTTCATTGCGCTGCTTTCCATGGGAGACTGGGCTGTCTTCAGGTAACCTTAGACCCTTATATGCTTCCAAATACAATGTATAACATAGGAAGAGTCTCTTGATCATGTTTAAATGAAGTAATAAAACTAGCATCAATTGGCCTCTTATTCATATTACCTAGTAGTTACTGTGAGATGCAGAAAACCATGAACATTTTGATTTGATACTGACAGATTGATATTCTCCAAAACCCAATTGGGTATTTTCTTTAAATGCAATCACATCCCATGAGTACCGGTATTTCTGATGTTTATGGTTTTCTGAAGTGTGCCATACACTGTAATGTGAAAGCAAATGAAAATGAAATAGCCCCTAATGAATTATGTTATAAGAAATCATTTGAAACTCAATTTTATTTTTATTCCTGTTTTTCCATGTAGCTTCTCTCCAGGTGGGGGGCAAGTGTGGATGAGGTTGATCATTCTGGAAGCACACCAGGTTTGTATTTGTTGCCCAGCTGTAGCCTCTGGTAAATTTACTTACCTTAAATTTTAAGCGTATATGATTTTTTTTTAATTTAACACCCATATTGTTCATCTTATCCAGCTCATCTGGCTGCAAGTGAAGGTCATCTTCCTTGTCTCAAGTTTATTGTTTGTGCTGGAGCAAGCATTGATCACACCATGAATGCGCGCAATGACCAGGTACATGCCAATGTGAGGAGTAGTGTATAGCAACTTTGCATTATGTTAGTTACGATTTGAACTTTTTGAAAAATCTAATACTCAAAGCAAATTGTTTTTACAGACTTCTTATGACAAAGCATGAGACAAAGCCATTCTGTCTCAAGCAATTGCAAGAAACTAGAATGCCATTACTTGATTGGAGGTTGAAAATTGAAAAATCTAATACTCAAAGCAAATTGTTTTTACAGACTTCTTATGACAAAGCATGAGACAAATATGCCATTCTGTTTCAAGCAATTACAAGAAACTAGAATGCCATTACTTAATTGGAGGTCGGGAGTTATGCAGTTTTTTTTCTCACGAGGTGTACAGTTCTCCCCTCATTTTATGAGAAAAATTTAAGAACTTCTTTTCCAATCAACATCAGCAAACTGCATATTTGTGGGTTCTTGTATGGCTCATGAATAGCTTTTCATGTGGGTTAATTAAAATGTTGAATATGATATCCCTTGATGTATAGGTGTGTTCCAAATGGGAAAATACTCTCCTTCCATGGTTTCAGAAAGTCCTGCCGGTGAAAAAAATATTCATTAGTGATATTAATTACCCAGGTAATAGTTTTTTACAAAAATCTTCAAACGATTATAAATAATTTGTTTATCAGTTAGACACTGTTGTGTGAATGTCTTATTTTATCTTTCTCTTGTTGAATAGGGTGACACACCCAAAAATCTTGCTCAGCAATTCTACAAGAAGGATTGTATTGACTATCTTAATGCAGTAGGTATGTCAGTTTTTCTTCTGTGGTATCTAAAATTAATTTTTTCCTTTGTATGCTAAAAATTTAAATTTTAAACTTGGTAAATACATATCATTGATGTGTATTATTCTTACTTATGTGTACTTACAGCGTATTAGTTCCTAATACATGACAGTCATCCTTCTTCACTTGGGCAATTAGTCATTTTTCTTTTTTTTTGACCATTTTCAGAATATGACTTGCTACACCCTGAAGATGAAGAAAGTAAGTTTATCAGTGCATCACACTTTTTGAATGATTTAATTTTTGTCTAAATGCATTTTAGATATATCTATGTAGAGGCTGTCTCCTGATAAGCGTTGCAATCCCTATTCATAACATTAAAGTGTTGCACTAGCTCTGCAATCATTAAACAACTGACCAAGTTCAAGGTCTTTTCTTGGTAAGTTACAGACTGAGCTCATGAGAAAAAAACAAGGTTAACTTACAGTACAGATTGAGTTAGTAAGATATTTATTACATCTCTGCGTTCAAATAGAGGGAGGGGATTTTAATCCAAACAAACTTTTGTTTACATTGAAATTGACCAATTATTGTGTATGTGAGAGATATAATAAATTATAAATATGACTCAGAATTATTACATTCTTACTACTGTATGTTTGTGTCTCATCTTAGACCTAGCTTTCCCTGCCCATGTGGCAGCGTACAATGGCGACCTGGCTCAGTTGAAGATGCTAATAGAGACTGGGGTCGTATCTGTGAATGAACGAGATGACAAAGGTTCCACCCCTGCTCATAAAGGTACAGAGTTTGGATATTGATCAAAAAAGCACTCATCTTTTTTCGAAGAGCACGACTAACACGCCCGTTATCCCTTTTGTTCTTACTTAGTATTATAACCTGTTATTTGACTTTAGCTGCAGGAAATGGCCACGTTCAAGTGTTACAGTGGCTTGTTGAAAATGGAGCAAACTGTAAGTAAAAACTTTAGAATTTTCATTTTCTGTTGTTACACTGTACTTTCACTTAAATACGGTGTAATTAAAAAAAAAAAAAGAAACGAAACGATTAACTTATTCTACAGTGATAGCATCATTTTAAACCTGTCATTGTGGAACTCACGGCCTTTGTGACTTGTTAGGTTTAAAATATGTCATTGTTTTTAATCCTCAGTGAGAATTGTCAACTCCGCTGGTGAAACACCCAAAGATGTGGCCCGTAGGTTTGGACGCCTTGGCTGTGTTGCAATTCTTGGAGGCGACTCAGGTGAATATTCCATTACCTTGCAAAGGAAAAACACTGCAGAACCTACATGTACCTTTAATAAAGAGTTAAGTTATAATTAAAAAATACATTTGACTCTATCAAATTCCCGTTTTTGTTACCGCCTTAACTAAAATAATCTTTCTTGCGAAGCTCGTTAAATGTGTAGTATATTTAACACCTACCTTTTTTAAAATTCTCCATTCATTGTTTGCATGCTTCGTCCTTAGAATTTGCTTTCCTATTGCATTTCACATTTTTTCTTGCTCATT